TTTATTTTTATAAATAAAATAGTTATATATTTATTTCAGGCCCATCGCAAGGTATTTGGGACGCAGCTTCCCCACCTTGAAAACATAATGGGATACAACCAGGCTACAAATCGGAAAACATTATGAAAACCACATAGAATTTTGACATCCCTAGTTTCTCTGTGACTTTCTCTCCATCATCTTCATATAGTGGTGGAACCTTGAACCACCGACGACCTCCTCTAATTGGCATTCACCGGAGGCAGCATGGTGGCCATCAACATCTTTCTTCGCTACAACACCATCAAGACCAAGTTTGTATTTTTAAATTAGGTTCTAAAATCCGATTTATTTTCATTATCGATTTAAAACCGTCTTCAAAGAAAGTACCAAATCTGCCTTAACACTTAGAAAATGAGGCGGGTGAAGAGGGATCGATGGTGGTAGCTTCTCATCCTTGGTTAAGAAGAAAAGGACAGCTTTGTCGGTGGACAAGAAGAAAAAGAAGAATCTCGTTCAAAGTGATCATGCTTTTAGTTGTGTAGACTTTTGCTTTTTTACACCATTTTGTCTTTGTCTATTGAAAACCATATAAGTTATAGAAGTTTTATACAAGTGTGTCATAACTTTTATTATTATTATTATTATTATTATTATTATTATGAATCAAAATAACTGTACTCATGGTTTTAATAGTATTATAATTAATTATATTATTTCACTTGATTTTCTGATTATTATTTATATTCATGATTTGTCTTATTGAACGATTTAGTAATTATATCTATTTGTGTTGTGGGTATATCTGTCATTAATTATATATATTTTCAATTGATTTTCTACTTTGATATATATATATATATATATATATATATATATATATATATATATATATATATATATATATATATATATATATATATATATATATATATATTTGAGTTGTGTTACAAAAGTTCTTTTTATTTGAAGTTTACATTTTATAATGGTAATTTTTCTTATTCAGTTAAAAAATATTTTTACTTAAAGTACCATCGTTTGGTAAATAACTATAAAACTTAAAACACTTCGGTAAATGTTTTTATCCAACTACTATCTTTTTGTAATCATAATAATAATAATAATAATAATAATAATAATAATAATAATAATAATAATAATAATACTCTGCCCGAAACACCCCATAAAATCCAATCTTAGGCTACCAGGAGTGGAGGTCCCTCCACACGTGAAATGCTTACGTGGAGAGTCTCTCCACGCATGAACACCACCCCTGGATTCAGTGGGTTGGTCGTGGCGTAGCTCCCAGGACGGACGAAGACGCAGGACATTCATTGGCCCATTAGTTTTGACCGTTGGGGTTATTAAATAAAAAAAAAACTTTTTTCCTTTAATTTACTGTTTCTATCTATATATATACATCCACTTATACACAATTTTTTTAAAACAACCATACAAATTCTCTCAAATCAAACATACAAATTCAACAAAAAAATGGATAGCGGTTCTGATGACGATTTGGTTTTGCACACACTATTGTCTGCAGCACAAGACGTGATTTGTCAGAGAGGCGAAACTTCACACCGCAAGAAGAAACATATAAAATATATCAATCGGGAGGTACGTGATTATTTTGTCCATAATAGTCTTTATGACCTTTCGAAATTCGAAGACCGTTTTCGTATTAGTAGAAATTTATTTTTACGTGTAGCTTCAGATTTGGAACGTAATTACGAATTTTTCTAATTACAATGGGATGCTAGAGGTAAACGTGGTTTTACCACAATACAAATGTATACGACCGCTCTTAGACAATTGAGATATGGTATAATCGCAGACGCATCAGATGAGTATCTGAAAATGTTTGAGAAGACGGGTCGAGATTCTACATATCTTTTTTGTGAGTATGTTATAGAGCTTTACCGTGACATATACCTGCGACATCTGACTAAAAGTGATGTCGAACGGTTGTATGCCGCGCATGAAGCTAAACATGGTTTTCCAGGGATGCTTGATAGTATTGATTGTACACATTGAGAGTGGGCAAATTGTCCTAATGCGTGGCGTGGTCAATTCACACGATGAGATCATAGGGTCCCAACTGTTATACTGGAGGCGGTTGTTTCAAACGACCTATGGTTTTGACATGCATTCTTTGGTATGGTGGGGTCAAACAATGACCTGAATGTGCTTCACGCGTCTCTGTTATTTAACGTTATTTTGCAGTGTAAAGCACCATATATGTCATACGTTGTGAATGGAAATGAATATAAGTATGGATATTACATAGGTGATGGGATATATCCAGAGTATGTTACATTTGTTAAGTCTTTTTCATTTCCAGCTGATGAGAAACGAAAATTGTTCAAGTTACCATAGGAATCTGCATGGAAGGACGTTGAAAGAGCGTTTGGAATCCTAAAACAAAGGTGTCACATAATCAAACATCCAACATGAACATGGGATAGGGCAAAACTAACGACGGTGTTGACTGTCTGTGTGATTTTACATAACATGATAATAGAAGAAGAGGGCAGAGCTACTTGTTCATATACCGGGAACGATTTACTTAACCCACCTGCAGTAATACAAGTTGACAGCCCGACATACTTCTCTAGTGTTTTGGAAATACAAAATCGTAAAGCACATCACAATCTACGACATAATTTGATCGAGCACATATGGGGGAGACAACTCCAAGCGGGAAATGACGATGAAGACGAAAAGGATGAGGGCGATGATTATGATGAGAATGCAGACGGTGACGACGAGGCGGATGAGGATGATGACGACGAGTAGTATTTTTCTACGATTTTTATGTTTTACTTTTTTTTTTTTATAAATTAAGTAGTGTAGTAGTTGATTTGTTAGGTTTTATGTGTGTTTTAGTAATTTTAGGTTTTAAATTTCTATGTTTTTAATTAATAAAATGTTTTTTTTTTTTTTTTTTTTTTTGTGTGTGTGTGTGTTTTCAAAAAATTTATTTATCTTATAAATTATGTTTTTTATTTCATTTAGTGTTACAAAAAATAAAAAAAGTTACCTATTTTATAAATTATGCTATTTATTTAATATATCGTTAAAAAATAAAAAAGTAAATGTTATTAGTGGTGACAATTTCTGTAGTGGATTGGGTTGGTAGTGAAGGTGACGTGGCACAGAGGTGACAACACTTTTTCGATGAATTTGCAGTGACCACTCATAGCCTTATGGAGGTTAGATATGCATCAAAAGACATAAGGCCGATGAGTCAAGGACCACTTTGCCTTTTTGTGGACAAAACTCTTTGGGATAATGACTTAAAAAGGTAATGAAGTTTCAAAAATGTACAAAAAATACCATTATTTTATTTTTAGTATTCAAAATACCATTAAAATATATTTTTTTATACACAAAATACCAATGAAGTACACATGTGTTCAAATAATACCTTGTGGGTAACCTACAATAGCTGGTAAAATGGTATTTTGTGTACAAAAAAAAAAACAATGGTCTTTTTTGTACATTTTTGAAACTTCGTTACCTTTTTAAGTCATTTTTCTTTCTTTGAATGTAATGGAAATTTAGCTACTTTTTATAAAGAACCCTCCACTTCACTTCGACCACTATTGTTGTTCATCGCCACCCTCCACCACCATGGCAAAACCCTTTTTCTTATTCTTCCTCCTAATCATCTGCCTACTTTCATCAACGTCGGAATCTCACCGGCCACCTCCGTTTCTTGGCAAATCCCCACGGCTTCTCAAAACCCAAAAATTCTTGTTCAGCCGAAGTACACTTATGAGACACGATACTTTGATCAGACTCTTGATCATTTCAGTTTCAATGATCTTCCCAAGTTCCAACAACATTATCTCATCAACTCCGATCACTAGGTGGGCCCAGGCCCTAGTCGTTTGGGCCCAATCTTCTTTTATTGCGGCAACGAAGGCGACATCGAATGGTTCGCTGCCAACACCGACTTCGTTTGGGAACTCGCCCCTCGTTTTGATGCCATGGTCATCTTCCCCGAAGTAAAAGCCCTAATCACTCTACTTTACATTAATTTGTTCACTTGCAGACCTTTAATAATACAATTTTATCAAAAGCTGCATGATTTGATCTAGCATCGATATTATGGTGAATCGATGCTATATGGAAACCAGAAAGCGGCATACAAGAATGCTTCTACTTTAGCCTATCTAACAGCCGAACAAGCACTTGCTGATTACGCTCTTCTCATCACTGATTTGAAGAAAAATTTATCAGCCGAAGCATCACCTGTAATCTTGTTCGGCTGATCATACGGTGGAAGTAAGATCTTTTCCAACAATTTCAACAAAAATTAAATAAACACTTGTTGATTACACCATTTCACTAGACTTAAAAGTGTAATTTGCGCTATGATTGTTTATGAACATCCTTAATTTGCATTGAAAATTTTACATAAGTGCTTATGAAATAATACATTAAAGCTAAACTTCTTTGACTATAACAAGAAAACCTATAAATTGGAAAGTACAACACATGAAAAATTATAGTGATTGTAATTTTATATATGTTATATTGTCATTTATTTTAGCTCTTTTATGTTAAAAATCACAACCCAACGATTAGATTAGGTTAAGTTGGTTCAACGCTCAAAATTCATACATTCACAAAGGATAAAGGATGGTATATATACGATGTAAAAAAAAAAAAAAAAAAAAAAAAAAAAAAAAAATTTCAACCCATGTCCACATGTCATGTTTTTTTATAAAAGGATAAATTATCTCATGATAAAGTTTTATTAGAAAAAAAAAAGTTAAACTTAAAATATATTAATTACAAAGGTTACTTGATACCATTCAACAAAAAGCAATCCTTACTAGTCTTTATGCTAAATTTATTGCGTTCGTCCATTCACAATAATGGACGAGATTCTTTCATTCACTTTGGCTTTTCTAAAAGTTTGTTCCTTGTTTTTGTTTCTTTCTTTTCAAAAACATATATACAGATAACTAAATTCCATATATCCATACAATCCTCCACCATCAATCAACATGGCCAAGAAACCCCTTAGTACACAAATTCTGATCACAATTTTCCTCCTTCATATCATCACACCAATTCAATCCCAACAATTTTCAAGAAAGTTGTCAAAAAACTCATTAGGTTTCAAGAAAGAGAAGTTAACTCATCTTCACTTCTACTTCCATGACATAGTCACCGGCCACCACCCCACCGCCATCAAAGTGGCGGCTGCTCCTATCGCAAACACCACACGAAGCTTGTTCGGCCTCATGATGATGATGGATGACCCATTAACGTTGACGCCAGAACCCGGGTCTAAGATCGTGGGAAGAGCTCAGGGGATGTACGCATCAGCAGACTTGAAGGAACTTGGATTTCTAATGGTCTTGAATTATTATTTTACAGAAGGCAAGTATAATGGAAGCACTTTGAGTATATTGGGTCGGAATGCGGCGTTGACACCGATGAGAGAGATGCCGGTGGTTGGTGGAAGTGGGCTTTTCCGGTTCGCTAGAGGTTATGCTCAGGCCAAGACTCATAGTATTGATTTTACAACTGCAAATGCTGTTGTCGAGTATAACGTTTTTGTTCTTCATTATTAGGTGGTTATGTGATTCTCCTTTTCTTGAATATCGACGTCCATCGTTTTCATAGGCATGTAATTTAAAGGAGTATGTATTATTCCATGTCTTGTTAGCGCAACTTATATTATTTATGTAATTCTCGTATAATTTTAGAAGGAAATCGCTTAAATATTACAAATTATATAAGCAAATAGTTACAAAAGTTAGCATATGCTATTAATATAACTCTTTTATCAAGATAAGTATATAAAAGTTTACTAGTTTATATATATATATATATATATATATATATATATATATATATATATATATATATATATATATATATATATATATATATATATAAAGAATTTTTCATCATCTGTGGTGTCATCGGATAATGGTTATCTTTCCAGTTTATTGGATTTTGGTGTTGGGACATACGCTTTTTCAACAGATCCAAGAAAAGTAAATGGGGAATCTTTAGGTTTCTTTGTCCTTTTAATATATGACCTTTTATTAGATATTTTTGAATCCGTAAGAAAGATGAACTTTCTTTTTTATACAAATTGGCATGCAGTATCTAAATACGATACCAAATGATCCAGCTTATGATTTCTATTGATTAATGTGACGTTTTGATATTTATGTTTTTTGTTTCGTATGAATATCATACTAATTAAGCACATAATGTTTGATTTCAATTAAAAATAATATCAAAATATTTTATGAGTTAATTACCAAAATGGCCAAAAACAGGAGCCATCTACTACAAAGTAATAGCATTTTCAATTTATGTATGGTGCAAGTAGTCTCGCAACAAAATAGTTTTACTGACAAGAGATTTTATGAATTATTCATGAAATCCATTAAAATCGTGAAGATCATTTACATTGAATCTTATGAACTGCCCGTGAAATTTATGCCCTTCTTAAACTTGTTATTATATCTTAAGTGAAATTTATGCATTTTTTGAAAGTGTTATTACATCTTACATCTGCTTAACAAATGTTGGTGATTTTAGTATTTTCAACATATTTTGGTATAGTTGTTATTAATATTAGGCTAAACTTAATTTATTAACCGAGACATGAGGTGTGGGGTACATATTCGGATTGATATATGTGAACTCAGAAATACAGGAGTCCGAGGGCAGAACCATGGGTTCAGGAGAAAGTTGAGTCCAAGGTTTATTGGACCGTTTAAAGTTCTTCAGAAGATTGGGAACCAAGCTTACAAGCTAGAAATACCAGAATAACTAGATGGTATTCATAACACCTTTCATGTGTGTTATTTGAGGAAGTTCATGAGAGAAGTTCCCGACATAATTCAAATTTCTGAATTAAGATTGGATGAAAGCAATAGGTTAATGGAAGAACCAGAGGCAATCGTTGACCGTAAGACTAAGAAGTTGCGACGCAAGATGGTCGAATTAGTATTTGTGCGATGGAAACATGCAAATGTGCCAAATCTCACCTGGGAAACGGAGAGTAACATGATGAGTCGTTACCCGCATTTGTTTGCTGATGTGTGATTCCGTAGACGGAACTGTCCTAAAGGGGAGAGAATTGTAACGCCCGTGTTTCAAGGCTAGGCATTAAATGAAGATTTAATAGTCTAGGTCAACATTTGTAACTTATTTTGAAATAATAAAGATGTATTATTTTATTATTATGTGTTTATTGCTTAATTATTATGATTTAATGAATTAAGGATAAAAATAAGCCTTGAAATTAAACGTCAGATAAACCCAATATCTATGAAGAAAGTTGTAGTGGTTAAAACAAGGATTCCAGAGATATAAAAAATACAAAAATCTGCGTTATAACGAAGAAGTTATGACTTGTCGAAGTTTCGTGATAGAACCGACAAAATATTGTGTGACATAAAAAGTGAATTTACGATAAAGTGCTTTATAGCCTTAGCAATCTAAATGAAAGTCGTAGTATTCATTAAACCAAGAGTGTGCATAAAAAGAATGTCCAAATCCGGCTTCGTATGAGAAAGTTATGAATTTTCTAAGATTTGACATAGTAGTATGTAGTCCGAAACTCGAATTTTAGATCGAATTATTTTTATCCAAAGCAACGTAAACAAGAATCGAAGATCTTGTTGATTATAGATTACTGGTAAAAAGACAGACTAAAACAGACGTTAGATGAAGAAGTTATGAATTTTTAACGGATTTTTCCTGTCGAAGTATGTTAAAAATAAACTTTAAAAATAAAGTCAAAAGTAGCCAACAGACTCTAAATGAAAGTTGTATAGTACAGTCGTACCTACGCGTGGATATAAAGAACATCAAAAATGGAGTACGTATGTGAAAGTTACGAATTTTTGAAGTTTAGGGCACAAACTTCGAGTCTGGTCCGACGGAGTACGCCCAGTGTATTCGTGTATGGGTTCCGAAGTCCGTCACCATTCCTACTCCTTCTCATGTAAGCCACGTATGGTAGCCTTGGTACGTCCGGGCCAATCCACTTCATACGCCCAACGTACGAAGTTACGCCCAATGAAGACTTATGTGAGGCAGTACGCCCCACATACCTGAGCTGTACGCCCTACGTACTAAGGTGCTTTGGTCCCCCTATAAATAGGAACCCAAGCTAGCAAAATTTAAGGTTACATTTTTACTCATTTCACCCCTCTACTTTCTTTTTACCTACTCTAAATACCCCTAACCCTAATATATCATCCTAGGATCATAAGAAAGTCCCGGAGAGCCCGAAGATCCCGAGAAAAATAGTTTTCGAGCCGAAACTCAGTCCACGTGAAGCGCGGTTTTTGAGAAATAATCTCGGTTTCATCGAAGAATATTTTTTTAAGAAACAAAGTGCTACCCAATTTTATTAAAACAAGTGAGTATGTACTTACTTTCATCTTACACATAGATATGAAGTATTTTCTACAAAATATATGCTATGTGTATATTCATTGTTTGTTTATTTGAGATTAGTGTTGAATGAATGTTTTATACAGGTTTTAAAATGATTTAAACTGTATATGTATTTTTATCTACAAATATGTTAAGTATAACATGGGTAGATGAAATAGTAGTTGCGTGTTAAAATGATGAGACACCTCGATGTTGTTGTTGTTGTTGTTGTTCTAGTCATCTAGCGGAGTATAGATGACAACCACAAACCATTCTAGACAGTCCAGTGGAACGCTAGCAGACGCGTAACCTGTAGGTGTTGGTGAACTATATGTTCGTTGGTGTACTCCATCCCCCTTATGGTTGCCTTACAAACATTTATGGCTGAGGAATCCCCTTAGCACTATTGGGCATCTCGATGGTGATCCTTAGGCTTGGTCCCTTGTATAGGTGTTTAGGAACGTAAAGTGAGGATAACGAGAATGGGTAATCAGGGTTATTTTTGGTTGATAAAATTAATAAATTTATTTTGGATTGATAAATTTATTGTTGGGTGATGAAATTAATAAATTTATTATTTGTGGGTTGAAAACCCTATATGCTCACCAGGCTTCCAAGCTTAACTCACTCAGTTTTTTATATTACAGGTAGTGGACCCAGAACATAATTTGGATAATGACGAGGGATTTTGGATTATAAGCCAGTAGTTGTAAATAACTGTTGTGAGACTTGTAATGTAGTGTTTATGCTTTTGGTCTGTATCGGAACATGACATCCCGAGGTTTTGATATATAATTAAGATATATATTTCTTTAAGAAATGTTTTGATAAAATTTTATCATGTTTTGTTTTGGGGACAAATTCCGCAACATCTTTTAAAAGATTACTCTGATTTTATTTTAAAAGCATAAACTAAATCGATATTTTCTAGCAGAGAAATTTGGGGGATGTTACACATTTATTGGCATTTAATGCCTCAGCCAATTTTGTATCACAAACTGATTTGTTCCCGTTACATGTTCAACTATAAAAGGAGACCTCCGATGTCTCATTCAACTCACAAATGAAAGAACTCTTATTCCTCCTCCTTCTTTGTACACCTGCTTCCGAGGATTCTTTCAGGAAAGTGGATATATTCGGCAGTACACACTGCTAAGGTTGTTGTACCTTGGGGAACAGACGGTGAATATTTTTAAGGAATCGAGTCCAACTTGAGCCTTAGCCACTACGTTTACTGCTAAACTTTTTTGTTATAAGAATATTTCAAGAAGAAAACGAAGTTGTTTATTTAACAGTCTTAAACAAAATTTTTCTTTATTCTAAATCTTTCATTTTCTGTTCTTTTTATTCTAAATCGATTATGTATTGATTTTTTCCTGTAATCAATTTAACTTTGATTGTGATTCTTTTAGAATGACTGGAACTCATGTTACTACTGGAACTCCTGTTGTTGGTGGTACCCCTTCTGTGAACCCAAATGCACCTGTTCCAAACATCATAGCTTATCATTCTGAGCGACCTAAAAATTTTTCTAGCTTGAACTTCAAGAGGTGGTAGCAGAAGATGCTCTCTACTTGACCACTTTGATCATGGCTTGGTTCCTAATAGAATCTGGTCATGTAATTGTTGAGGGGTAGACTGATGCTCAATCTATGAATGTAGTGGATGCTTAGAAGCATTCGGTATTTATTTGTCGCAACTATGTGTTGAATAGGCTAACTGATGTACTTTATAATGTCTATTGTAAGGTTACAACTACTAAGGAACTATGGGAATCTTTGGAAAGGATTTATAGGACAAAAGATGTTGTTACGAAGAAGCGTTTTGCTGCTAAGTTCTTGGAATAAAAAATGTTTGACTCAAAATCTATTATGATTTAAGTCCAAGACCTTCAAGTCATTATACCATATAACAATGAAGAACGTATGGATCTTAATGAGTCTTTCCAAGTTGCATCAATGGTTGAAAAGCTTCCTCCTGGTTGGATAGACTTCAAAAACTACATTAAGGATAAGCGAAAGGAGATGTCTATGGAGGAACTGGTGGTACGTCTTCGCATTGAAGAAGAAAATTGAATGACTTTGAAGAAAGGAAGTGAAGTTGAATCTTCTAAGGTTCATATGGTGGAAGCTAGTCAAACTTCCAAGATCAAAATCAAGGGACCTCGCAAAGGGAAAAAACTTAGGCCCCAAGGCAGGAACTTTCAAAAAGAAGTTTAAGTACTACAAG